GAAGTTCAACAAAACAAAACAGGCAGGCGGGGAGCGGTTGCTTGGTTTCCCAGAGCTCCAGGTCCCACCATGGTGTGGGTCCCAGTAAACAGTGGTGGCGCCTGTCCTGGGCCTCTGCAGCCTGCCATGGTCACAGCCATTGATGGGGGAGGGGATTGCTTCAAGCTGTTTCTTTCTAATGAACTGACCATTTCACGCGTAAGTTCTAACAGACCATAGAAAGACATCTCTTTAGGCTCCTGCTTGAAACCAACTGCATCAGGAAGCTGCTGGCCTTGACTCAGGGCCAGAACTTAACACATCTTAATTATTTTTATTTCTCTCCCATATTTCTCCTTTTTCACTCTATCTCTGGGCCCCCTTTATATTTGCAAATGATCTATCTCCATGATTCCAATTGCATATTTTTCATTTTGTCATTTTGAGAAACCTGTGAGAAAAGGGACTAGCTCCTTACTGACCAGATCATATAGAAATTTGAACTGTTATTTTTAATTACTAAAATTTATATAATATCTAAAATATCTAATATCATAACTAATATGACAACCTTCTGAGGCAGCTGGATTTTTCTAATCTCACATTTTATAAAAGAGAAAACTGAGACTTGTGAAAATATATAAATGTCTGGTCCAGGGATTTAATTCAGTGGCATAAGCACCAGCCTAGCAAGCGCAAGATCATGAGTTTGATCTCTGATACAAGAAAGAAAGAAAGAAAGAAAGAAAGAAAGAAAGAAAGAAAGAAAGAAAATAAATTTCTGAAGATCACATAGTTAGAAAGGGGATAATATTACTACCATGTAGCAGCTAAGCCAGCTCTCTTTTCTCTGATTTTAGGGATCCCTACTGATTAAAAATCACTTGTCCCATGTTCTCTCACCCTTATCCATCCCATCCTAAAATTCCCTTCCATAACAACCTGCCAGTGTATCTGTACCCTGTGTTTCTAGGTTGAGAGCTTCTTCTTCTTATAGGATCAAAACTTACCTAAGCCTCCCAAGTGAATTCTAAGAGCTAAGAGTACCCCAGGGATTGCAGCAGTCCCAAAAAGTGGACAGAGCCACCACCTAGCGTCTTGTACTCTTCTTCTAGGGACAGAGTCTCATTCCAGCTGATTGGGGACAAGTTTAAATGATGACAATATGGAGAAAATGAATAAAAATCTTTCTTTCTCCTTGAGCATCAGTTTCAGGCAGTGTGGATGTCCTGTCTCCTCCAACTTCCCATTTCCTCTTTTCTCCTGAGAACCTGTCAGACCAAGAAAAAGACCCTGTGTCTTAATAAAGATGCATCAAGGACCTTTATCTGGGTTTCCAGATCTTGCGACAGTGTAGTAATATGGAGGGCACTTTCTCACCAGATGACTAACACCATTCACTGTATATCTTTGACATGCAAACAAGGGGAAAGCATCTGCTTCTTCACCTTGTTGCTTGGCCCTGAGACCCCCAACAGGCTAGGAGGCGAGCAAGTCTCTCACCCAGGCTCAGAACCACCTGTTCATCACTCAGCCACTATCTAAGTTTAGCACTGCAAAGTGAGGTGGTAGTTTGGGCCACTATTCTGTTTACAAGGTTTTTATTCTTTATCATATGTTTGTTTCATAGATACTTTTAATATGTCATTGACCAAACTTAAGTAGTATAAGAAACATTCATTCTAAAATGTAACTTAATAGGGAACATAAAAATGATCATTCAGAATATTCATAGGAAAATTATCTTTTAATTCAGAAATCATAATTATGAAGAATTTAAATTTTTGAAAAACAGAAACAATGATAAAATTATACATTAGATACTATTTATTTATTAAGCTACATTTGTTATTATGGTTTCCTATCTGTTTTTTATAGGTAGTTGTATTTATGAAAATTTACTCCTGTTCATTGCCCTTACCTTTTTCATCCTAAGGATAACCACTATAATTAATGTATACAGATTATTCTTCTCCATGTCTGTACCTTAGTACATATCTTGGCATAAATATGTGGTATTATTTTAAGTTTTTAAATGTGTCTTCTTTTTGGAATTTATTCATATGGATTGTTGGAAATATCTTAATCTAATAAATATTCTATAACACATCAAGCTGTTTTCAAGCACTTAATTAAATCCTTGGAAAGTAAGCATTTGGAAACTAAGCTGAATGTTATTCTTAAAGATTGGATTTTTTTTTTAGCCTTTAGAAACAAGAGTCAAAATAATCAAAGAAATTTTTGTGCATTTCTGATAGTTACGGTTTGTGTCTAGATGTCTCCCAAAAGCCTCATGCAATTTTAGAAAGATTTTTTTTTCAGAATCTAGAGTGTGTGGTGCTGAGATTAAGGCTCTGTAATTAGTAAATCACTCCAACGACTGGTTTAGCATAATTCTGACTGCAATTAATGCTGTGAGTGCTATACCTGCCCTAGAGTGGGTAGCCTGCACAAAGTATAAAGGACAGAAGAGGTCTTGTCTCCTCTCCTTTGTTGCTTTTTCTATCTTGTGGACACCATAAACTCTTCTCTATGATACCCCTCCTCCAAGCCACCCTGCCTTGGATCCAGCCAATTGTGGACTGAAACCTCTACATGCTGTGAGCCAAATAAGTCTTCCCTCCTTTATCTTTGGGTGTTGAGTATTTTGTTTCAGCAACAAGAAAAGTAACTAAGATAGTGATATAATAAAAAGTAGTTAAATTTCAATCTTCAACTTAATACATGCATTTTTATCCGTAAGCTAAATGTGATGTATAAATATCATTTTGAATTATCCCATTAATTTATTCCTTATTTCATAATTAATTTAAGGTTAATTCAATCGTAGGAAACATTTAATGTAAGTCAGATTTGTCTTTTTTGATATGCATTACAGATGTTACTAAGGACTGATACATTTAACTAAGTTATAATGTAAATTTTAATTTTGTTATAATGTAATTTATTGTAGAATGTATTTTAATTTAGTTGTAAATTTAATATGCTGACATAATGTATTTTATGACAATAGCATTTATATCTTGTATTGTATATAAATATGCAATGAAAAAGAATTTTCAAAATTCAAGAGATTCTTGTCGTATAGTACTATAAATGTAGCTTTAAAATTAAAAGAGAGAGAGAAAGCAAGACTAATTGGATCAATCCAAAAAGATGAGTCTGTTAGCATCCCTTCATCCAGTCACCATGTTTTTTGACTCATGTGCTATTTTTCTAACAATTAGCACGTCATAATATTCCTTTAGTTGAGACTAAAGGAATCACTAAATCCAAATCACCAATACACAAACTTGTGAACAAAGTAAATTATTTTAAAAGCTGGGTTTGAATGTAGTTTGTTGCACAGCGTAATTTAAAAATAGACTGCCACAACAGTACGTGGCTTTTGTGATTTGCAACTGACAGCCTTGTATGAGTAATATAACTTCTTTTAGTTCTTGGAACTCTAGGGCAATTGGAAACTCTAGAGCATTCTTTCCTTAGTTTTGGCGCTGTTAGTATAAGTGAAATCATAGCGAAAGGTGCAGAAAGTTAAGCTGTAGGAAAAACATACCTGACTCATATGTTCTTGGATTTTAGCATTTTACAGTGTGTGTGTGATAAGTAAAAAAGAGAAACCAAGAAAGCAACTTTCACCAGTTGTTCATTGGAGACTGAGAAATAAACAGGAGCACAAAATGTAAATAGTCAGGCTTATACATCAGACACATACGTCACAACATAGATCAGTGGTGGCAAGTCTATGGCACAAGTGCTGCTGTGGGCTGTTTGCATCATTGCAATCTCTAAAAGACTTGCAATCACTGATGTGGATTTTTTTTCAGACTGTAAGCATTGTTTTATGACTTCTTGAGAGGGGTGCAGTGTGTCCAATGAATCCCTGATTTCCTGATGATGGCTTTGTTCCTGGTAAAGGGCATCCTCTCAATCTCTAACTACTAGGAGTTGTAGAAAACTTGGCAACTTCATCACTGAGACCACAGGAGCTAATCTTCACCCTGCCACATTCAAGGGATCTTGCAGCTTTGCTGTATTTCATATCCACCTGAATCAGTGTGGACTCTCTTATGATGATACTCCAGTCCTTAAACAAAGGATGGAGAGTAGTTCTTTCATCATTATGCTCATCTTAGAGTCCTAACAGTAGATAGTATATTAGTCAGGTTTCCATTGCTATAGCAAAATACCTCAGACAAGAAACTTAAAAAGATGAAAGATCTATTTTGACTTATAGCTTATGAGGTTTCAGTCCATGGCTGACAGGCACTGTCATTTTGGGGCTCATGGGGAAATAGTACATTCAGGCTGGGAGCACAGGATAGATTAAGCTGCTTACTTCAAAGTGGCCAGAAATCAAAGAAAGTGAAAGACAAAGAAACTGACACGACACAGTCCCTTCAAGGGCATACCCCCAGGAACCTAAAACCTCCCATTAGGCTCCACTCCTAATAGTCTCCATCACCTTCCAATAGCACCATGCTGGACAACAAATCTTAAACACATGACCCTGTGGGGGACACTTAAAATTCTGACTGCCATTATTTTCTTAACAAATAAGGGCAAAAGTGTCCCTTTGAAGGACATTGAGTCTGTTTGCATGGGGTTAGGGGATAGAGAAGCCAAAAACAGGACAATTCAGAAGGAAATAGAACAATTTAAAAAAGAGGAAAGATATATGTAAAATAGAATTACTGGATGAAAAACTAAATGTAAATTTAATTTTTAAACAATATCCTTGTTGAGTTAATGTTTATCATTCATAGAACAATTAAAAAAGTGGAAAGACATATGTAAAATGGAATTAGTAGATGAAAAAGTAAATTTAAAGTTAATTTTTAAACAATATCCTTGTTGAGTTAATGTTTATCATTCATAGAACAATTAAAAAAGTGGAAAGACATATGTAAAATGGAATTACTAGATGAAAAAGTAAACGTAAAGTTAATTTTTAAACAATATTCTTTTTGAGTTAATGTGTATCATTTATAACTTTGTCTTCTGTCACCAGAACACAGGCCTCACCTATGTAAGCACAGTACAAATAGCCAAGCAGTGAGCACCTCTGCACTGAACCCCCAGCTGCTGCCCTTCCCTCTGCTCCTGAAGTCCCAATGAGAATATGATGCAGAGGCTTCTTCTGGGTACCCTGCTCCTCTCCATCCTCTCAGTGAGTGTGACACAAAGAGGTAGGTCCAACTGGGAAGGACTTCTGAGTCTTAGGGACTCCAGGTACAGCACTTGGGCTAGGACTGCTGCTGCTCTTTATAGGAAGATGTGAATGAAAGGTGGTTTCTAACTCATTATAGCTGCCTAAGAATTTATCCCAGAATGTACCCACCAGAGACAACAAACATTTATTATCTCATATTTTCTATGGGCCTTGAAAGGGTTGTAGCTCAGCTGATGATTCTGAGGTTGTAGTCTATAAACCAAAACTATGTTCCCCTGTGACGACTCAGCTGATGGTGGTGGTGGGGGGGGTCTGCATTCAACCTCAAGTGCACGGAGAGTCAGGATGCAGCCCTTCCTTAGATACTGTGTGGCAGGCCTCAGTTCCCCACTGTCTATCGTGGGAGGCCCCTGTAGTTCCCCAGAACAGCACGGGCCTTGCATTTGGTTCTTCTTATGATGACTCATCCAGCTCAGGGAGGGAAAGGTCCTGCGCAGAAGCTACAGCTTTCTCAGCATCTAATCTTAGAAAGCACATACCTCACTCCTGCTGTATTCTATTCCTTACAGTGAGTCAGCCCATACCCAAGGGAAGGAGAATTATTTCATAGCATATTTTTAAAGCTACCACAGATGCAGACGAATCCCAGGGCTGGAGAAAGGAGAACAGGGTTTTTGTTTGTGGTATGGGAACACCACACACCACCACCAATGTCCTGAAAGGGTAAGAAGGGCTGCAACATTTCTGCTAGAGAAGGCGCTCTCTGATCCATTTCAAGCATTTAGTCCACGGAGCATGAGAGGCAACAGGAAATCTTAGAAGTAGTTTGAACTTTAAATCAGACAACCAGTTTCTCCCAAACAATTGAATGACCTTTTGTGAAGTGACTAAACTCTGAGCCTCAGTTTCTTCACCCATAGGATGGGAATAAGGATGACACCCACTAGGAAGGAATTAAGATGAGTGAGATCAGTTAAAGGCAAATGTACTGTGTATTGGGTAAATGTTATATTTGTCTTATTAGTTGTGGTAAAGCTTCAATTTTACCACACTCCCTCCCAGTCTCCACTTTTGTATTATTGTCACTGAGGCCAAATTCATCTTCTGACATTTGAGACATTCATTTGTCTACTGTACTAATATCAGTACTACAGTTTTTATTTATTGTATTATTTATTTATTTTTGGTGCTGGGGACTGAATTCACAACCTCCCATTTGTCAAGCAGGCACGGCCCCTAGTAATACAGTTTTTAAAATCCCACTCTCTGGTTAACCCTGTTACTTTGCTCTAGGTTTGTGTGTTGACAAGATTACAAATTACAAGCTCAGAGATAATTAGATCACAGAGTATAAATGTGTGATTTCCCTTCCTGTCCTCCTAGTTCCCACTGTATTGACTGCTTAGATGTCTCCTTTCCTTCTCTCTTTCTTTCTCTCTTTCTCTCTCATTCTCTCTCTCTCTCTGTCTCATCTCCCCCCCCCCCACACACACACATAGTCTCTTCCTAATATCCTCCCCTAAAGGCTCTGTTCCTATTGTTTGTCCAGGGTAAGCACTTCTTAAGCAGCCTTTGTCTCTAAGGAAAGATGCATTCATGTGCTGTTTTTCCATTTCCCGCTACGAAGCAAAACTAACCCAATTCAAGACTTCATATTACTTCTAGCCTATGTCTCCCTTGATTCAGTTAGTCATTATTCTTTACTTTATTTTCCAGACCACAGTATTTGTTAAATTTACTTTCCTCTGTAATGAAATACTAGTTCTTATAATGATTATGCCCTCCTCTTCTCTTGGGGTTTTTAAGAGGAAATAAGTCAATGCTAAGTAATTCCATAAACTTGATGTTGCAGCCACAGGGAAACAGTGGGGAATCTGTCATGAACTGGCACCCAGGAGGTGCCACAGAGAGTGAAGAGCCAGGTAGGGGTGCTGTAATGGTCTGGGCCATGTGGTTTGCACATTAGTCTATTCCTCAGACTTTGCGCTAACCACAAGTGTTGGTCCATCATAGCCAAGATAAACCATTAAAATTAGAACTAATTCTAGTCACAAGTGTCCCATGGGAGGAATCTCAGAACCTGATTAGTGGTGGGAAAATGTGGAGAGCTTCATGTTTTACTCGTTATGGTTGGTGAACCAGTGAGGCAGCTGCTTTTCATTTTCTGTGACTGACATTTTCTTTCATACAGATGGAGTCCCAGTATTGGATATTGAATCCAAGGCCTTATCACTGAGTTGTATCCCCAGCCCTTTTTATTTTTCATTTTGAAACGAGATCTTCCTAAATTGCCCAAGTTGGGCTAATTCTTGGGATTCATCTGCCCCACCCTCTTTGAGTGCCGAGATTACAGATGTAAAACCATACCAGACTAATGTGGGACATCTTTAATTTCAATTTGTAACAAGGTAGCTGAACCTATACTGCTTTTTTAATACTGACAGTAGCCTAAAGCCACTGAGCTAATGCACGCACAGCAAGTCTGTCAACCCTAATGTGCTGTCAGGAGGCAGTTTATGGTAAGAGCGAATCAAACAAGTGTTGACAGAGCTTTTGCCACATTGTCTTTCCTCTGCAGATCTGAGAGGGAAGGTGCTTATTTTCCCTCAAGAGTCAGCCACTGCCTATGTGTCCCTGATACCCTCAGTGAAGAAGCCCCTGCAGAACTTCACGCTGTGTCTGAAGTCCTTCACAGATCTCAATCGTGCCTACAGCCTCTTCTCCTACAGCACCCGCTCCCGGGACAATGAGTTGCTTCTTTTTATTGAAAAGACGGGTGAATACCAGCTGAGCATTGGGAATGCTGGGGTCAATTTCAAGGTGCCTCCATTGCCTTACAACCCCAGGCACATCTGTGTGAGCTGGGAGTCTGCCTCTGGGATTGCTGAATTCTGGATAGACGGGAAGCCCTTGGGAAGGAAGGGTGTCAGGAAGGGATATACTGTGGGGGCTGAGGCAAAAATCATTCTGGGACAAGAGCAAGATTCATTTGGGGGAAATTTTGATGCCAAACAATCCTTTGTTGGGGAGATATGGGATGTGTCTTTGTGGGACTACGTGCTCCCTCTAAAAGACATGTGTGACTACAGTGATGGTGGCAACGTCCTGAACTGGCAGGCTCTGACATATGAGGAAAATGGCTACGTCGTGACTAAACCCAGTCTGTGGAATTGAGCTTTGTGCTCTTCTGTCATGATTTATGTTTAGTGATAATCACATTCGCTTTGAAATTAAATACATTAATTTTTTTCTGGCTCTGTTAAGATGGTATAAACTACACTAAATAAAAACAAGGGATAAGCAAGCCTTCAATATATAACATTTATTGTTGCAAAACTTAGTTTGGGTGACTGTGCCACAATTTGCTGTAGCACTAAACCCTGGAAACTCAGCGGAATCTGCTGCTTCCAGTATGAGGTACCAATCTTGCAGAACCTTGTGATATTGTGGAAGCTCCCATAGGGATGCCAGGCACTCAAATTCGACAACCTATGAAAACAATGTGTTTACTGGGAAAGCTCTAAAGTAAGGGCTATTTTAGTGATCAGGACCTTCAAAGAGAGTCTTAAAAGGAGCTTTCTGAGGAGCAAGATTGGGAAAAAGAGTTTCCTCTGTATCTACCCCAGAAAGGACTGCATTGTCAGGGAAACCCAGAGAATGACAAAGATAAACTGTCCTGGAGGTGTTTGCCACCCTGATCTCCAGATGTACTCTTCTAAGTAAATAGATGTTCTGAGGAGACAAATCCTCTATCTTCCAACTCCACAAACATGTAGAGTTCCCTCCTTGGTCTTCTATCACCAGGGAACCCAGGCTCTTTGTTTCATGGCAATGTAGATTTAATGCATTTTTGATGGGGCCCCTTGGGTAGTAGTATGTGGGAGGGTCTTTCTATTTCTTTTTCTTTCTTTCTTCCTTCAATTCTCCCTTTCTTCCTTTCTTGTCCTTTCTTCTACATCAGCACTTTTGGACTAGATGGTGTCTTGAAAATTCTAGTTCTTTTTATCCCTAGGCCAAATTATTCTAAAATCTTAAACCTTACTCACAAGTCAGGCTAACATTTCCCTTTAGAAGACAATAATAATGGGACTTCAGAAACACCCAGACTCTTGTTCGGAAAAGCATTTATAGTTTAAAATAGGGACTCAAAAATTTACAGAAAATAAGACCATCAGTGTAGCAAGTGAAGAGGTAAAAAATAAGATACAGTTATCAGCTCTTGTTCTATACAGAAAAAAATTTAAAATATGGGTTTATTTCCAGATTCATTACAGCAAGAGTTAGCTAGAAGATGCCATTAATGCTGTCCCCACAGAACATGTGTTGTCCCCACAAAAAATATATACAGTATGTGTAGTGAAAACCAGAGGTCAGATGTGACAAAGTTGTTTACTTTTATAATGAACATAGTGGTAATCCAGGCTCACTGAGGAAATATTCTATTGTGAACCTCAGCAAAATTAGGGGGAAAAGTTTAATGGGTCCCCAAGCAAGGTAAGAGTGTTTAGAACTAATAATATTTCTTCTAGAGTGTCAAGGTCTGTTACTTTTGTCACCACCCAAGAAAGTGTACATCATATATATCAACCATGGCCTCTTTGAAGTTTTACAGTTCAATACCTATTTGACATTTAGGTTGATCTTTCACACATCACTTAAAATGGGAATTCGACGGCTTGCTTTTCTACCATAAATCAGCTGCTAATAGTAAGCGACCCCTTGGCTTGTGATTCTCCCCTAGTTTCATATCTTGGAAGCAGCATCTGACCATTTAGGGGGGTGATAACCATGAGACTAACTGAAGGTCCAAGAGAATGATAAAAACAAGGGAGCAGAGAGTGTAGCCTAGTGGTAGAGTACTTGTCTAGCACAAGCCTGGCTTTGTGTTCAATCCTTAGCACTGCAAAGTAATAATAAATAAGCTTAAAATAAAACAAGAGTTAAGTCTGAGAGAATTCTGATTCTCTAATGCAAGCATACCACCAACTTTTCTCTTGGGATACAGGATGAGAGATAGGATCAGTTTTGTGAACTTACAAAAATACTCAGACTATGATACTTAGTACAGCAGACTGGCCTTTTCTGTGAGGAATATGTTTCAAGGCTCCAGGACATGCCTAAAATTCAGGGTGGTATTGAATCCTATCTCTACTGTTTTTCCTAGTCACCCACAACCATGATAAAATTTATTTTGTAAATTAGAAACAGTAAAACAAGTAATGATTAAACAGAACAATTATAATACTATACTGTAATAAATGTTATATAGTTATGAGTTCTTTCTGTCTCACAAGATATCTTAGAATACCGTGCATACTAAAGAGTGGGTATCTATGTACTACATAGATACACTGTACCAAAAGATGATTCCTGTCTCAGATGGAGTAGACATTTGCACAAGACTTTGTCATGATACTCAGAACAACGCATAATTTAAACTTATGAAATTTTTATTTCTGGAATTCTTCATTTAATATTTTCAGACCAGAATTGACCAGTCCACTGAAACTGCAGGTAAAGAGGGACTACTGTGTGTCAACCTACCAAAAATGCTAGGCAAGAGATTTTTTAGCAATAGCACGGTAAAGGGCATCTTTGACCTCCTTGTTCCTCAAAGTATATACTACAGGGTTCAGGAGTGGAGTAAAAATGGTGTAAGTCACTGAAATCAGCTGGTCCTCATCTCTAGTGTTCTCTGATTTGGACTTGAGGTAGGCAATGGAAGCACAGCCATAGTGGACAATGACCACAGTGAGGTGGGAGGCGCAGGTTGCAAAAGCTTTCTTCCGGCCCGCAGCAGAGGCAATCTTGAGGATGGTGGAGATGATGAGGATATAGGAGATGAAGACCAAACCCATAGGCACCACAATAACCATTGAGCTGATGATAAAATTAATTATGTCATGTACAGTGGTATCAGCACAGGAGAGTTTCATAACTGGGCGGATGTCACAGAAATAATGGGCCACCTCTCTATCACAAAAAGGCAGCCTGAACACAGATGAAATCTGGATGATAGCCACAAGCAGCCCACAGCTGCATGCCCCCCAGACCAGTTGGGAACATACCTTTTTGTTCATGATGGCTGTGTATCTCAAGGGGTTACAGATGGCTACATAGCGGTCATACCCCATTGCCGTGAGCAGAAAGCAGTTGTTGATGGCTAGAGTGATAAACAGGAACATCTGGGTGGCACAGCCTGCCAAAGAGATTGACTGGCTTGGGCCTATAAGACAAGCGAGCATCCGTGGTACAATGACCAATGTGTACACAGTCTCTGAAGTGGAAAGCATACTGAGAAAGAAATACATGGGAGTGTGGAGGTGACGATCAGTGCTGATGATTATCACAATGACAGCATTGCCAGCCAAGGTTAAAAGGTACAAAGTAAGAAACACCACAAAGAGGATAAGTCTGTGTTCATGAAAGCTAGAGAAAGCCTGGAAAATAAACTCACTCACCACTGTGAGGTTTTCTCTCTTCATGAATAAATTCCACATCAAAAATATGGAGATTTAGATCATTTAGAACACATCAGTGCTCAATGCTTTAAGAGGAGAAACTCAAGGAGAAGGAGGTAAGATTCTGTCCTTGGATGAATACCAAGTTAATGAGGACTGTTGTACTTCTGTGAATAAAACAATAAAAAAAATACAATCACAAAGCAATTTCATGTATGGTAGTTTATACATAAAAGTATAGAAAGATAAATAAGATTGGAACAGGATGGAAGAATAGACAGTTGACAAGTTTGGACAAATTTTCCTGGTGGGGTAGGATATAGGTGCTAGGGGAAACTTGGCTAAAATAATAGAAAATGCATAGTTAGCTTTGAAAGGAGTCCTGTTTTAGGTTACTGATTCAGATTCTGTTACCTACAATTTGTTTAAACCAGAGCACTGTTCATCTTCTTAAAGATCTTCCCTTCTGAGTTATCTGATGTGGCAGTGCTCTCTGCTCCAGCTTAGCCCAAGCATCTGCTTTCTCCCTGTTCTACTGCTCTGCATATTTGATGAATCCTTGTCACAAATCATTCAACAGCTTCAAATGTGACTGTCCCCCACAATTTTAAAATAAAAACAAAACTTTGTTCCCTCTTTTTTCAATACCTGACTGAAGTCTCCTCTTCCCTGAAAGCCTTTTTCAGGTCTGCGTGCATCCTACCCATCCTAGTTCCTTGTGCCGCTGAGTGTTGGCCAGAAACTTGTTACTCTGGACTCTACACATCTCTATGCATTTTCTAGCTTGAGTTTAAATGCAAATTTTCACAAGTAATCTGTTGCTCTACTGGACTAAATGTGTTCTAATTTTTCAGGATTACAAGCAAGGTAACTTTGAAGAAACCAAAAGTTACTACTTCTATTCTCTGGAGATTTATTGGGAATCGAAAAGCTCTCATTGTAAAATGTGTAATAATAGTAATAAACATTATGACTTTTTATTTTTATAGTTATTCCATTTATTGTTTAATATCATACTAACCTATATAATTACCTATGTAAGGTAACTCTACCTCCCATATTGCAGATAAGAAAACTATACCTAGGGGCTGGGGATTTAGCTCAGCACCTGCCTTGCAAGTATGCGGTCATGAGTTCAATCCCTGGTACCGATAAAAATGAAAAAAGACAAAAAAAAAAAAAAAAAAAAGAAAAAAAAAGAAAGAAAGAAAAGAAAAGAAAACTATACCTGTGGTTACATGATTTGTCCAAATTAATCCAGTCTTCCAGTTCTAACATGATAGTGGTTTGTTGCATTACACCTCAACTATCAAAGAAGTATCATGATAAAAAAAAACAGATAGGAAAGAAGGTAGTTCTTTATTATTTTACTGGAAATAATACATTTTCAATACTTTGGAATGAGACTGCATCAGGGAAACATCTGGAAAAATCAAGAAAACTGAAAAAAAATTTAGGAATTTTTCATCTAGATTAGTTGAGGAAATATTAGTGATTTAGTGACCACCAATAACTATTCTATTTGACTTAATTATTTCTACTGCAGCTATTTGTTTTAAAAATGATCAGAATATCAGTATATTCATACAAAACTTTTCATACTATTTATAATGGAGAAGACCATGACATTGTAAATAAAGAAAGAATTAAATTAATTATAACATATCTTTTCATAACTATGTAGTCATTACAAATCTAAATATTGCTGATATTAAAACATGATAGGTAGGTAGACTGTAATTTCATAAAGACAAAAAGAAAAGAAACACAAGAAAGAACTGAACAAAGAAAAGAAAGACACTGACACATGCTATAAAAAGTAAATATACCAAAATGCAAAAAA